CCCCCCCCCCCCCAAAAAAAACCCCCTGCCTAGTGCAGAGGGGCTGGACCTGATGATCTACAAGGTCCTTTCCAGCCCTTAACAATCTCAGAGTCTATACCTGTTTTGTGACCACGTGGCCTTGATCTTGACGGCCCATGCATTGCTTCGAGAAATGATTCAGTAACGGGACACATCTCAAACATTGGTCTCCTGATAAAACCCACCACATGTCACATAGGATCATAGGAAAGGAGGGCTGCAAGGGACCGTACAAGATCATCTAGTCCAGCCCCCCGTTGCACCGTGACTGATCTGTTGGGGGACATTTCCACAAATCTCAGGAATGCTAATGAAACACAGTCATGCTGTCGGCACCACTCATAACAACAGCTGGTGCAAGGACAGGCTGATTACTGACTTTCACCCTCGTGGAATAAAGTCGTCCTTGTCTCCGTGCACCGGGGTGCGAGAAGGGTTTCTTCCCTTTTGAAGGCCTGTGGACACCGCGGCTCCCAGAAGGACTGCGCTGATGTGAAGGAATGAACTGAATGGAAGTGGATCAAGTGCGGCAAAGTCGGCACGGCTCCACGCAGAAATTCCCCTAGAAAAAGCATGGCTTCCCTCCTGACTTGGGGGAAAGGCGTCTTTCTGGAAAACCCTAGCTCGGGACCTACTTAACTTGCAGTGAGATGAAGGGGTTTTTGCACCAGCGGCACCTGCCGCTCCCAGGAGTGAGGACCACGGCCCCCACTGGGGAGCCAGCATTTTATTTGTACTAATTCTTTTTGCTGTTCATTTTTGCAGACAATCCCCGATTTCAGTTTCCACAAAATCTGTGAATTAAGTAGGTCCCTAAACCACAGCACCAGGCAGCCTGATTATTTCGCTGCTTTAGAGCCGTTCTCCCAGCTGGGCCGAGAAGAGTTTCTCTACGTTGCGACGTACAAAATACCAGAAACTTCGGGACCAAAACGATGTATTTTATTAGACCAACTGGGAAATCGCAAGAAAATTGTCTTTTTTTCCCCTCTCTTTTCCTCAGAAAAGGACAATTCATTTTGCAGGGAAGGACAATTTCCTTTTTTTTTCCTTCAGAAAAGGACAATTTTCTTGATTTCCCAGTTGGTCTAATAGAGAGTTCTAGCTTTTCGTATGTCTTCTTGTCTCAGACCAACCCGGCTATCAAGTACTCCCCTCTCTACCCTGTTAATATTTTTTCCCCGATTTACTTTATTTTGAACGTTTTTACTGTTATGGGTGGGACATGGTACAAGGGCTGAAATTACCGTATAAATACGATAATGATAGCAATATTATCAGCCCCAGCCCTGGCGTAGCCCCGCCCCTTTCAGCTGAAAGCGCTGAGAAGGGTGGCGCCCTGATTGGCTGACGGGGCAGCGGGGCGTGGCCTAGTGGCCTCTGGAACACTCCCCGCGGGCTGCTCGCTCCCTCTACTCCCCCATCTCCCAGCCTCGGGTCACCTGACCGGCTTGGAGTCACCTGATTGGCGGGGAGGAGGGCGGGTCACCTGACTGCCATAGAGTCATCTGATTGGCGCGGAGGAGGGTGGGTCACCTGACGGGCTTGGAGTCACCTGATTGGCGGGCGGGGGGGGGGTCACCTGACCGGAAGCAGAGTGTGCGGCGCTGTTGTGTGAGGGGAGCGTGATGGAGCGCTACGACAAGGTGGCCCTCAACGCGTTGGCGCCCCCTGAGCCACGGCAGTAAGCAGCGGAGCGGGGAGCCGGGCGGCACGGCTGTGGGGGGAGGGCTTTCCCCTGCTACGAGCTGTGCGGGGAGCCTCCTCGGGTCGCTTCAGACCATAGAAACCAGCGACTTCAAGTGCCAGTTGACCCCCTAGCTCCCTCTCCCACCCCCCTCCGTGCAGACGGGATTTTAGAGCTGAGCTGGGCCGAGTCCCCTGGCGCTGTCCCCACCCACCCGGCTGCGTTGCGGCCCTTTGCATGTCCAAATTCCCGCCTGCTGGGGCAGGGACACGGTGACCTTGCAGGGCAGCGCCTGGGTGCTTCCGTAACCGGTTTGGACCAAATGTGTGAACCGAGCTGGTGGGAACAAGGCATAGACTGAGCTGGTTCCCAATCAGTCAAGATCTCAGAGACGGGCCTCCCCACAGGAGGTGGAGGAGCATCTCTCTCTAAATCCTGAGGCAGGGTTGTCCTTATCCAGACTGCCCTGCTCCCATAACAGGTGCTTGAGTAGCAGACCATTAAAACCATGTCTTGCTTTCCTGATTTTTTTTTTTTTTTTAAGGGCACTGACACGTGAATGCAGAGGCTGCTCCGATGTGCTGGAATTGCGACATGTCAGAGCAGATGAGATTAATTGAGTCTCAGTGGCCATGCCACAGCAGCCTCCCATGCCTCCGGTGGCTGTGGGGGTGCTTGATCGAACGAGCTTTATTCAAGTGCCCCCGCTGCCACTTGTAATCACAGGGGCACTGGTACATGAGACGTGGCAGGGCTTTGATTAGAGCGGCTGCAAGCCATCTGGTTAGAGCACCACGCCTCCACCCCTGGAGCGTGTGTAAAATATCCTAAGTGATCCTTGGGGATTTTTCCCACAAACATGATGGGAAAATGGGTTGATTGCATGGGTGTACTGACAACACAAAATCCTGTCAAGTCCACTAATACGCAAATATAAAAATTGGTATAAGCATGGTTTTTTAAATCGTAGCTCCCTTGAGTGCTTTACTAAATGTTTGTCAAAGTGAGGGCTAGGAAACTGAAAATGTGATTTCACTATTTGTCAAGTTGTAACTTTTTAACGGTACAACATGGTCCTGGCTACTTTTGACCTTAAAGACTTGTTAATGCCACCACTGAGTGCAAAGCTCTGTTCTAATCTACAGAGCAAATGCAAGACATCACAACAAAGATGTAAGCTGTTGTTGGATATTTTTGTCTTGTTGAAGCAGTTGCTTAGCGTGTCAGACCTGCTCACTGTGATTTCCTTCTGTGTTTACTTTACTTTCTTGCTTATTTCAGAAGTGAAGGTTCAATAACATCAACTTTAAGAACACTCCTGTTCTTCACTGCTTTAATGATCACACTACCTATTGGGCTGTATTTCTCTTCAAAGGCTTATATATTTGAAGGTAATTCTCTTTTTGCTAATTAGAAATGCTTGTAAGAGGAAAAGCTTTGTGTCTGTGCTGCTGTGTTCTTCTCTCTTCTATAATTCTTTGTAGTATAAATGCGTTGGTGTAAAAAGGAAATGTCTTGAATCTGGGGCTAGAAAGTAAATTGAATATTTTAATGGACAGGACCATTTGACTAATTGAATTAGTTTGGCATCTTGTCTCAACCATTTCATTGGCAAAGCCACCTGTGTAAATATAAAAGCTGAGATCTGTTTATATAACAAATATTTCAAGGCCTGCACTTGTTAAAGTGTGTGGGAATCATAAGGTTGCAGTAATGCAAATAATGTTCAAGATAGAATAATTCCATGCTTCAGTAACCCATATTTTTTTGAAACATAATGTTACAAGGTCGCACAGAAGCTGAACATGGTTGCCTGTGGAATTCCATCCTCTTCCTGTAAATTGAGGCTTTAGTTGGTAATGTGGAGTATAGCACTTGCAGATGTTTAATAATAAATGAACAACGACCCCAGATTCTGCAGCATGAAAAACAGGCAAGAACAAGGGAACTTCTGATGATGCAACATCTTGCTGTTAAAAATGGAACTTCCTCTTTAAGGAAAGAGGATTTGGTAAATATATCACAGATTTGAAGTCTGCCAAAACTAACTTTGCTCTCTTTGGTGTATGTGGTTACATACAGTTCTGAAAGCTAAAGTTTGTGTCTGTGGAAAAAGTATTAGAAACACCTTCAGAAAAAAATTATTCCTTGATTATATTCACTTTTGAAATCTGTCTTGCCAAGCTGTGTTAATCGCAACAAGATTTACAGGCAGTTCATTCTGGGTTATAGCAAGTAATATCCTGAAAATAGTTCTAGTTATTCATACCTATTATATAGGAGAATAATGTTGCTGGCTTTGAAATATGGAAATGTATTGCAATCTAACATTATTAATTTAATGAAAGATCATACAGGGAAGAAACTTAAGACTGAAAAATCCTTTAGACTTGTGCATTCTTAATATATGATCATATTACCATAAGTAACAAATTTTTGACCGTGTCGCTTGGTTGCCTTTTAGAACTTCAGTATCTCAGTCAAATTCCATGTCAGAGCCACCATCCTCTATAGCTTCATACTCCACTGTAGAAACAGCCTTGCCTCCAAACAAGCCCGTGCATGTAGGGGATATTATGCACACAGTTCAAAGATATCTGGAGATGGAAAATGGATAGAAAATGTTAATTTTTCTTCCAAATGTTATCCCGTTTTGGATTTTTGTGAATTGTTGTATCTTTTAATTTCAATTATCTAGTGCAAATTATACCAGGCTAAATTCACAGTTCAGTAACTTACTTCATTACTAGTTTTTATGTTGCTTCCAATTAGTAAGCATGAGTTGGCAGCTTGAGCATAGAAGGCAAGAATTCCAGACTGTTAATTCACACTTAAGTGAATCACTTAACTGTTGGTCCCAAGACTTTCCTGCCTGTAAGGGAATAAAAGTTACTATCAGGGTGCAGAGGCTTAGGTGATGTTGGAAAATGAACTTTTACAAATGCCTTGAAGGTCTAAAAAGCTGTATTTCTGAAAGGTAATGAAAGTGCTTGTTAAAAGCTGTCATTCCAACTGCAATATGATTGTGAAATCTGTTACTGTCGTGAATTTTGGCCCAGTGATCCCTGTACAGAGACATGTGTAATCTGGTATTTTGTAACTACTGCACATTTCAGCTTGGTGTCTTAATGTAAATCAGCAAATTCTTGTGAACTAATATACACTATCATTTGTGTCTTACTTTCTCAGGTACCTTCGGAATGTCCAACAGAGACAGCTATTTTTATGCTGCCATAGTTGCTGTTGTTGCTGTTCATGTGGTACTTGCTCTGTTTGTCTATGTTGCGTGGAATGAAGGTTCTCGGCAGTGGCGGGAAGGCAAGCAGGATTAAAGTGAATATCACCATCTGATGCCTACGGACTGTAAACAGAGTAGTTGTGGATTGAGTAAACTTTCTTCATAATGTACGGTGTACATATACAAAGTGGAGGTTAATGCCTCAACACTGGAAGTCTGTATGAATAGAACAAGATTTATGCTCATCTCATCTGAATACCAATATTTGGCTAAAGACTAAAACAAAGTTATTCAACCTCAACTTGGCAAGGTTGAGAAGGTCTTCACCTGAAATTGAAACAAATAGGCTGGGCTGAATGTGTGCACAGTTTGGGTTTTTTGTTTTTTGGGGTTTTTTGTGCAAGTCTTGGAGCAGGCAAGAACAGCTAAGCAAAATGTTGGTTGAAGTCAATTATTAAGTTAAAATTATGTATTGATTCCTACTGTTAACTTACTAGTTTTAAAAGAAACTGAGTAATATGCCAGTAGGGCTAAAACACTAGCTTTGCCCATATTTTATGGGCCATTGCTCCATTTTGGGAGCACAGAATCAAACTGAGCATTATTTTGTACTAGTCAGCTATGGTAATACAAGTATATAGTTTACATTTTTGTTTGGAGCAAAGGAACAGATGACACACTTTCCATAATCCCTGAAGGCAGCTCTTGAGACTAAAAAACTTGCATGTTGGAGAGCAGTTAGTTAAATATGCTTGTAGCAGTTGTAATAGATCACAGCCACAAATTCAAGGATGCACCCTTACAATGTCGTTAGTAAAAAATGGCTTCTCAGTTTTACCAAAAATTATTTTTGCATCACATTTTGTAGAAAACATTATTTTTTGATTTATAATTAATCTCCAGGGCATATTTTTCAAAGTTATACAGAACCATTTTAGGTGATAACCTGCTGATATAGTAAGGAGTGACTGATGCATTTCAAAGTGATCTGTACTACAGCTCAAATCATAAGTATAATGTGAATCCCAGCATTGAGCTTTACCTCCAATTAAATGCAGCAAATTCTCTGGAAACTCGTATCTGGGGACAAAGATCAGGGCAAAACAACTAGTTGATCAGAAAACTTGATTTGGGTCCTGCACTTCATATTAAACTTTTTTTTTTTCTTTTAAATATAACTTTGGCTTCTTGTATTTTTAAGTTCTTCTGATTTGTTCCTGCATCCTTTGGCTATTTCTAATGAATCTGGAAGATTGCAGTATCGTGAACTTGCTTATCTGCCTACCTTTCCTGTTGTGAACCTTCCTTACAAAAGGAGAGATATTTAGTATTTATTTTGCAGTGAAAATACTAAAAAGGATTTGCTCTGGACTAGCTCTGTTTCAACTGATAACAGGCTGATTTTTGATATTTTCTGGGGTGTAGTCATGAACAAAGAGTGGGTTTTAGAGATGTACAGGAGAAAGGAGCATATTTTAAAGGAAAAAGCAAACCATAGTGATACTGTGAAATAATATGGTAATGATACTGTAACCACCGTTAAAAGATTGGCACCATCATATTTTATCATTGCTATTTCCCAATAATAAAAAGCAGGCCTGTATGTTTTGTTGAATCATGAGCCATATAGTCAAATCAGGATGAAACTTTGCTAGCATGCTGCCCTGAATTGCATTTTGGTTTTGTGCTAACCTTAACAGGCTTTTTGCATGTGTGTGGAACAGGGTACCACCATGCACAGAATTTTCCCAGTTTGTTGGGCTTTTTTTGTTTAGGGTTTAGGTTTCTTGGGTTTGTTTTGTTTTTAAAGCAATTGTTTTGGGTTTTTCCATTTCATTTTTACCACTTTATGCCATTTCTATGAGATTTTTGCTTAATACAAGATAGGGAGTATTTAGCTTTTGCACTTGCAGGCAAAATATGCCTATGAATATTATAAAATGAGGCACAGGTGCTTACCTGCCTTGTAGCTAATAGAATGGAGTATTAAGCTGTAGAACCATCTCACATGTGGGATGAAGCATTAATGTGAAACCTGCTATTGCATAGTGACTTCAGATTAGGACAAATCAACCTTTAAATCTTGTTCCTGGAGCATTAGGTTTTCCAGTCTAAAAGGCCAGTGTTAGGTTGCTGCTGGCACACTAGGAAAAATGATCCTGTAGCTTATTTCTCATGCAGTTTTATTTTATAAGGTGACAGTGAGAAATTCCTATTTTCCCACCTTTATTATACAACATGTAGAATACATAATGCCTTGTAAGAAAGAGAGACCTTGCAGAACAAATCCCATTATCAAGAACTAGTAAACAAATATTAGAGCTGTAAAGTTTCTGGACTTTTATTTTGTTGCTGCTCACATACTAACACAGTGTATCATAAAGAATAGATTAGCTAAAGTGATGTACAGAGTAAATTTTTTCTCAATTTATATGCTTGAAAATGAAAGGTCTGCCCTGCTTCATTAAGTGTGTACTGTACTATATCTATGGTTGTGTTCTGTGGCAGGAATGTCCCGATGCTAAAACTGTATTTCCTTGGGATTATGGAAATAATTACTTTAACTTGCTGGGTTGATCACAAAAACTGAGATGTGCTGGAAAAGTTTGAGAGCCAGGACATCTCTGCCATTTAAGAGTGGAAAATATGGTGTTAACCCATTCGCTACGTCTTGTTTCTGCAAGTGGCATATCTTGGTTTCAAAAACATTCCCTTGAGAGAAAGCAAGATGAGTATGTGGAAAGGGGTAAGAGCAATAAGCCAGGTTATATATTGTCAGAACAAAGAAGCTGGTGAGCCATCAGGTGAGTGACACAGTGGCCGCATGTACACAAAGTACTGCCTGCACAGTCATTGAGTACTTGTATAACCAAATACTCAATGACTGCAGTAACTGCGAGCTGCACAGTTGGCGTCTCATGTAGACATGGCCAGTGAAGAGTACAATATTGAAACCAATAGGAAGTCAGCACCACAGAATTAGAAGTTAAAAAGGGCTTAAAGAGCTTCCATAGCAGAGTTCAAATATGGCATAAGATCTGCCTTAAACTCGGTGTAAGCATTAGCCTGTCTAAAAACTGGTTTAGTTTGGCTAATGTAGACGAGCCCAAAATCTGTTTAAGACAAAGCAAATACTATAAGTGCTGCTTCAAATAGGATTCTGACTCATTCCATTTGGATATCCAGAGATTTAGAAGCATGGCTGTAATGCCTGCACCCCAGCAATGGACCTCTTACCCCCAGCGGCTGTGCTAAGCCTCACCATAAAGGGAGAACTAAGGGACTGCCCAAAAAGCTTGCAAATGAGGAACTTCTTCCTTGTTTGCAAGCTCTTTGGGCATGATCTGATGTAAATGTTCATGCCAAGTGTTAGTTTGGCATAAACTGAGACTTTCTAATAAAGATTTTATATAATAGGGAGCTCTCCATCAGGATAGGCTTTGTTTGTAGAGGAATGCTGGTCTACGTGACAACCAGTGAAATTGGTTTCATGAACTGCTCTGCTAATGTCAACATAATGGGTTGCTCAGCCTTCTTGGTAGTAGAAATGACGTGCCATGATAGTTTCTACTTGGAGCCTTCTTGTGCTTCAGCAAAACTTAAATATTTTTTTTAAATCTGTATGTTCCAGCCTTTGTAACCTGAACATGTAATGTG